CGAGCTCCCAAAGGCCGGATCCACGGGAAGCTCGGCACCTGCCGTTCGGTGCAATCGGCTCGAACAGTGACTCGTAGGCACTGACGCTGGGCACCCGGGAGCCGGGGAGAGGAAGCACCACGTCTGGGGTCCCGCAGACCGGCCCCGGGGCGGAAGGACCCGTGGGGAGGGGCCCCTCACCTGTCAGTCAGAGGGCGAGGTGGTCAGGTTGGTCCTGGCAGAGCTCCACCCTTAAACTTGCAGCTCTAAACTTTTTATGACACGACTCCCCGGCCACTGCCCTCATTTAACTAATTTTACAAGCCTGTTCCCTTTTATTGGCCCAGCCTTTCCTAAATATGCACAGCGTGCTTCCTGTGTGCGGGCACTAGACAGGTGGGTAGGGCCCTGGCCCTCATGGAGGTTGCATTTTAGCGAAGAACTAGACAAAAAGCAGATAAATACATAAAGCGGGGAACTTATCCAAGGGGACATTTGAACAGAGGCCGGAATGAAGGGGTGCGGGGTGCGGGGCAGAAGGGAAGCAAATGCTCTTTGGCAGCGGGCACAGCAGAGCAAAGGTCCTGAGGGAGGAGCAAGCTGGGGAGCGGGGCGTCCGTGTCGCTGAAAACCTGCCCAGTGAGCAGGGAGAGGATGAGCAAGGAGCAGCCAGGGGCCAGATCCAGGTCTCACCGCCCACAGTGGGGCCTTTGGGTATTTCAGCTCAGAGAGCTTCTCAGAAGTCAGCGATAGACCAAGCTTTGGAGCCACCGGGCCTCTTCTTTCACGGACATTTTTATTGTGATAACTGTAGACTCACGTGCAGTTATGAGGAACAATACAGAGAGATCCCCCCGTCGGTAACATTTGCAGAACTAATACACTCTCACAACCAGAACACTGGCCTGGGCACAGTCCCCAGGTCAGATTCGGACTCCCCCAGCCTTTCTTGTACCTGCCCAGTGTGTGTGTTTAGTTCCATAGCTTTATCACCTGTACAGGTTTTATCCACCAACGGAGTCCAAGCACAGAGACTTTCCATCGTAAGGATCCCTCCCGTCACCTACCTCCCACACACGGTCACCTTTGCAGTTATGGCGTCACCAGCAGGATACCCACACTGGCAGCCAAGTGGAGATCTTGCTGCTGCCTCCGCCCTTCGACACAAGCACCTTGCATGGCAGCTGCTTTGATGAGAACTGGTCCCCACCCATCCCCAGCCTGGCCTCACAACAGCCTCCTGCTGGTCCTCCCGTTTTCTCACTCCCTGTCTGTCCACAGCGGCATTTTGTCGGCATTTGGGAACGTCCTGGCCCAGATGATTAAGCAGCGGAAAAAAGAAAACTGCTCTCAAAAGCTAGATGTCGGTGGGCCCCTCAGATATGCCATTTACGGGTGAGTTCCACCGCGGAGCGAAGGCGTCAAGTTTCTGGAATGATCTAATTTGGAAAAATAATTTTAAAAAGCATTGAAGTAATCATGGGGGAAAATCAGAACAGGGGGTAAGGTTAGCTTATTTTCTAGTTTTATATGGTTACTTTTAATTTCATGGGTGGGAGTGGCCTCTTCGCTGAGCTGAGAACACTAAGAGCAGGTAACTCCCCTGAACCTAGAGGCCAACCTCAAGACTCCAAGACCCATGAAAGTGGAAATCAGACTCATGTACGGCCCGTTAGTTATTTTCGTAGCATAAGCATCCAGAAGAGCATTCAGGTGACCTGAAAAATGTCCAGTTTCTGGACCACTTGTTGAATTGCAAAAGCTCAGAGATTCCGGAGTTTTACCAATTAAACCCACCCTGGGTTCTCTGGCCAAAAGTAGTGTTTGTACAGACAGATTACTTTGAAGTCTTTTGCAACAAGTGATTTTTTTTTCCAATTCAAAATTCACAAATACCATTTTTGTAAGTAGTTAACTTTACTCATCACAGCTTTTTTCCGTAAGTATTTAAAGCTGCAATTCCCCACCCCAGGGAGGGGAGAGTGTACCAGAACCACCTGGGAGGCCTCCCCAACCAGTTTTCCATCCTCAAGGCTTCTGTTCTCCCACTGAGAACCGCTGCTCCCGGCCACTGGTCCTCAGGGTGAGAACGGACAACTGAGAACCACTTGCTTAAAGGCTTTCAGTGTCAGGAGTTGGAAGGTCCCCCAGGCCCTGCCCCTCTTTGTTACTGAATTTTATGGAGCAGCAGGTCTGTTGTCCCAGACGCTGTGCCTGGGCCCAGTTCTCTGCACACCCTGGAAAGAGTAGCAGCAACGCAGGCAGCAGGTGCACAGCTCTGGCTGATTACCTGAAGGATTTGATGGAAAAACTCCAGGGGTGGGATTGGGGGTGCATTTATTTATTGCTGAGCATTGCTGAGCACCTCTGACTCAGGCCCTGCAGACACAGCAGTGAACAGTCAGACATGATCCTGCCCTGTGATGGTTTTACCTTCTGGGGGCAGAGAGAGGGCACTACACAACCAAACAAATGAGGTCAGGGCATGTGGTGACAAATGCTATGAAGAAAGCCACATGGGGCCTGGAAGAGAGGGTGGCAAGGACAGCAGGGGGCTTGTTATCTAGAGCCACCAGGAAAGAACTCTCCAAGCCAACAGGGTTGAGAAGGAGCCGGCCACGTGAAGGTGGCAGGAACCCAAGGCAGGAACGAGTCTGGCCTGTTGGAAGCAAACAGGAACGCTGGAGGCAGATTCAAAGAAAGCGCACTTTCCAGGACCACGGGTCTGTGTGGTCAGTGCGGAGAGAGGCAGGGTTTGGGACCTGGCGTCTGGGGGTGAGCCTAGCCCTGAGAAGGTGGTCCAGCTCCCCCTCCCCCCGTGGCCTCAGGTTCTTCTTCACAGGGCCGCTGAGCCACTTCTTCTACCTCTTCATGGAGCACTGGATCCCTCCCGAGGTGCCCTGGGCAGGGCTCAAGAGGCTGCTCCTGGACCGCCTGCTCTTCGCACCGGCCTTCCTGCTGCTGTTCTTCCTCGTCATGAGCTTCCTGGAGGTTGGTCTCTGCTGCCGCTCCCCCTGGGCAAGGGTTCTCAGCCTGGCATCGGGGTGGAACTCAGGGTCTGCGAACTTCTCCGACTCTCACTTTGAAGGCTCACAGTTGCCTCGATCCACGTTGGAAGCAAAGCACAGCCGTGTTGGCAGTGCCTGTGGGTGCGAGCGGAAACCAGTCGGATGTCCCTGAGCGTGGGTTTGCGCCCCACTCCTTGCGCCTGCGGTCAGGGCTGGTCCCTGAAGGTGTTAATAAAGCACGTCCTCTAGCCCGTCACAGAACGTTCCCGAATACTTGGGTAGCTGTATTCGGTGTGGCTGTCCCGCAGTCCTGTACGTTTTATACGTCATCAGACGTGATTCTGAAAAGGGGTCCACGCCGACTGCGGAGGAGGCCCGGGGCCCAGGATTTCAGGCCTCAGTGATGTGGCAGAAGCCTGAGCTACCTCAGGACCCGAGAGCCTGGGCACCCCGAGGAGGCCGACTGAGAGCCCAGCGCGCCAGGTCAGGTCCGCTCTAACGGGCCCTTCACCCCTCTCCACCCGGCTCTGCCAGTCTGCTCTGTGCCCCAAATGTGTCATGGTCGGCCTTGACATTTGTTTCAACCAGTCACAGCAGGTAAAGGCTCCTCACTGAGGTTTTATTTTGAAACAACATCTCCAGCTTTTGTTACTAAGAATTACCTTTGTTGTGTACAGTGACCCTGGGGATAAGTAGGAAAGATGTTTAGACTTAACTGTGATTGCTAGTGATTCCCTGATAGTTTGAAAAAGAAATGTCTGGGACGTCCTTAGGGCATCTGAGCCAGGAGGAAGCAAAGGGCCCACATTACCAGCGAGGGTACAACGGCTGCTTCTCTTTATTTCCTTCCAAATACAAAGGGAGTATGTTTTCATTAAAAAGTAAAAGTTGTTATCAAAGTGCATAAAGTCCTGACACATAAAGGGAATATGCAGGGCACAGTGGACCACGAGCTCACACAATCACACCCAGCCGCCGCCGCAGCCAGCGTGTTTCGCCAGACACCGTCACAGGTTCCACCACAGGCTGTCCCTTCTGTGTGGGCTCCTGGTTGGTTAACTCCTAGAACTGTCGTCTGGAAGGCCATCCTCGTTGGCCCTCCCGGCAGCGATGCAGGACCACAGCACCAGCGACACTTACTGAGCACTGGCCTTGCCCCAACTGCCTCGCATCTACCCCCCCGCCCCCCACCAGGTCAGCTCAGTGCGAGGGCGAGGACACAGTCCCCACCGTGTGAGCAGCGCTCACTGCTCTGGTGGTTTCCCACGTGGATGGCGAGCTGCTTACAGCTGCACCGCTCATTACCCACCCGTATGTGCTGCCCATGTTTGCACGGAACAAAGTCTACAGTGAAAAAACCCCCACTGCATTAGGGTTTGGGGGTCCCCAGACCCCAGCGCCCCAATCTCAGCCTGAGGCAGTGGGGCTCACTCACCCCGTGTTTCCTTTCTAGGGCGGAGATGCTGCCGCTGGTGCTGCCAAGGTGAGGAGCGCATTCTGGCCGGCACTGCAGATGAACTGGCGCGTCTGGACCCCCGTGCAGTTCATTAACGTCAACTACGTCCCCATACAGGTGAGGCTGCCTCACCGCGCAGGGCCCCGGGGCGCCAGCCTCCACCAGAGGCCATTTCCCATCAGCCTTTCCCCCCTTGCAACAATCTTCGTTTTCTCGGGGTGACTGTCACTGGGGACTTCTGTCCACACCTTCTTTCCTCTGGGAGGGCGGGGGTGGGTAGGGCAGACTGTCTCGGGGTGACTGTTACTGGGGACTTCTGTCCACACCTTCTTTCCTCTGGGAGGGCGGGGGTGGGTAGGGCAGACTGAAGACGGGCCTGGGGCTCGGAGGGGTGAGAGGCAGGGAGGGTCGAGGTTTTTCCCAAAAGTGAACCCAGGGAACAGGTAGGTAAGGACACCATGCACTCCACAAAGAAGGGAAGACATGAGAAGACAGGATGGCTGAGGACATGGCTCCGTGGCTGTCAGAGGGCAGGCTGGAAAACGGAATCTTTGAAAGTAGTAGGGACAGGATGCTGTGTGGCTGAAGTTCCATTTCAGGTGGTTGCAGGCGATGCTTAAGGGGCAGTGGTTTATTCAACAAATGTTTGTTGAGCACCTACTATCTGCCCCGCTGCTCTAGACTTGGGATCAGTGGTTAACGAGATGGACCAGGCTTTCGTCCATGGAGCTTACCTGCCGGATAGACTCACTGACTGGAGTTCAGGGGGGTTTGCCTGTGAGGTCACTGAAGCAGGGCAATGGGCAGTGACAGCCTAGAGGGAAGAGCAGGTCAGGAGGGTGTCAGGACTGGATGAAGGCACCGTGTGATGGCCAGTCCTGGGGTAAGAGGCTGAGCCAGGACCTGCAGTGGATGTTCGTGACGGAGGGTAAGGGACAGTGACTGAGCGTTTTCCCTGCTGGCCTGTGGAACGAGTGAGGCAGGAACGCTGTCTTCCCCACTGCTCTCTGCTGGGGTCTCGCCCAGTAAAGGCCCGAGGGGACTGGGGCCTGGTGGGTGTGGTCAGGGCCTTGCGCTCACTGGGGCCTGTGTTCTCTCTGGCAGTTCCGGGTGCTTTTTGCTAACCTGGTGGCTCTGTTCTGGTACGCCTACCTGGCCTCCCTGGGGAAGTGAGGCGGACCGGAGAGGCTGCACCAGCACGGGGAGTGCTCACCTGCCCCGCGTGAGAGCAGAACGAATCTGACTCCAGGTCATGTGATCAACACGCCCTAAAATGATGGAGAAACAGCAACCACTCAAAAATACTAAGAACGATTTCACTTGTCACCTTAGACTGCATTAGGGTCACAATAAACTATAATGTACCTTTTTCAAGGGTAATTTAAATTTCTCTAATGGCTGCTGTGGCTTTGGGGGCTTCTTACTTAAAAAAACGTGTGTGTGTGTGTGTGTGTGTGTGTATTTCAGAGAGGAAGGGATGGGGAGAGAGAAACATCAATGATGAGAGAGAATCATTGACTGGCTGGGAATGGAGCCCCCAACCTGGGCATGTGCCCTGACCAGGAATCGAATCGTGACCTCCTGGTCCATAGGTTGATGCTCAACCAGAGCCACGCCAGCTGGGCCGGAGTGATTTTTTAAAAAATATATATTTTATTGATTTTTTACAGAGAGGAAGGGAGAAAGATAGAGTCAGAAACATCTATGAGAGAGAAACATCGATCAGCTGCCTCCTGCATACCCCCCACTGGGGTTGTGCCTGCAACCAAGGTACATGCCCTTGACCGGAATCGAACCTGGGACCCTTCAGTCCGCAGGCCGACGCTCTATCCACTGAGCCAAGCCAGCTAGGGCCGGAGTGATTTTTTAAAATGTAACTCACATCATGTCACTTCCCAACCTGAACACCTGCAAAGATGACGCAGGAACTTCTCTTATGGGCATGCGACCCCAGAGAACTGAGAGCAGAGACTGGAGGAGAGATCGGCCCACCCATGCCCACAGCAGCATTACCACGGCCAGGAGGTGGGAACAACCCGTGTCCACAGGCGGATGAGTGGAAAGCAAGATGTGGGCTCTCCATACAGTGGGACCGTGTTCGGTCTTAAAAAGGAAGGGAATTCAGCTCCTGCTACATCACGGATGAATCTTGAGGACATGATGCTGGGTGAGGGAAGCTGGTCCCCAAAGAACAAGGACTAGACGATTCCATTATACGCGGTCCCTCGAGTCAACCGCATAGAAACGGGAAACGGATGGCGGGAGCCAGGGCGCGCGCGCGCGCGGGAAAACGCGGAGCGAGCGAGTGACGGGGACAGTGGGCGCCGGGGAGGGTGTAGAGGGGACAGGGGGTGTCGCTGGGTGTAGACAGAGGGGACAGGGGGTGTCGCTGCACAGCGCGAACGTGCCTGACGCCCTGGGCTGTGCACCTGTACGTGGTTAGAACAGCAGCCCCCCTTGGTGCCTGTTTTACAGTGAAGACAAACAAGCGCCCGGCGGCGCCAGGTCACTAAACTGAACTCCAAGTTCTCATCTCCGGGGCGCCTCTCCCGCCTCTTCTCC